TGTGTGTGTGTGTGTGTGTGTGTGTGTGTGTGTGGGAGAGAGAGAGAGAAATGTGACATGACAAAATTTGCAATGAGTGACAGACATTAAATGGAATGTAATGCTATGGTAATATATTGTAGACTTCATAATTGTCTAAATACATATATAACCACTGTTAAAATTATTAATTTCTTGAGGATTAAAATATCAAAAACTCAACTAAAAATGATATTTTACTTTCAGTATAAGATTCTAAAAGAAATAAAGTAAAAAGTCAGCCTTATAACTTAGTAACCACTTGAGAATAGTAGTAGCCCTTTTTATAGACTTAGTGTAGATTTTTAGTAAGTTATAATAATATAACATGGATCTCAAAGTAAGATAAAATTTGATGCAGTATTTTCACGTTTTCGCTAATATGGAGCTTTAGTATTTACTCTAAAATCTTGAAAGTATCTTAAAACCATTGTAAGCTTCATTTTAGTAACAAAAATATTCAAACCAATTATAAAGAATATAGTTTCTTTCCTTTGTTTAACACATGAAAAATTTATCAATTGCTGATACTCTGACTTTAAATAAATTCATAAGCTTTATTATTACCTGTTAGAAGAGATGTTTTGCTGACATAAAAATAAAATAAATTATTTATACTCAGTAAATTTTCACCGTGAAAGAGTTTTCATACTGTGATTACCCAGGACAGGTAAAAAAAAAGAAAATTAGTGGAAAATCTTACCACGCCAATGGAAAAGTAATTATTGATGATACTGTAAGGCACTGGGTCTCCCTTCTCATCTTTGTCATTAGGTATGACTTCAAACTTCCACCTGTCCAACATTATTTCTGTGCTGTTTTCAATGTCTTTTAGGATTTTCATCAGATTCTCACCTTCATAACCTAATGGGAAAAAAAAAAAATACCTTGAGAAAATAAATCTGGCCAAATAACACAAGCTGTATTTACATATTGTTTGAGTGTGTTTATGTATGTATATTATTCTAAAGGTAAATAATGCATTTAAAGCAAATTCCATCACCAAATGAAGAATTAACTATAATCGTATCATATTCATACCAAGATTTAATTCTTAGCTTCAATTTTCAATACATATTGTATTTCTCTCTTGCGGTGCAAATTCTCAGTGTATACAACCGACAATGAACATTTCTACTGCATACCCCGTAAAACTTTACATCAGTATATTCAAAATGGAATTAATTATCTGCTTGCTTATCTCCCTCCTGTGCATCCTATCTCAGAAAATCACCACCCTACACCCAGTTGAAGTCAAAACCTGCATGCCGTTTTAGACTTCTCCCTTTCTGTCGTTCCTTTATCCTCACTCTTTTCTCCCTAGTGATAGAGAACAAGTTGCAGTTTAAGGAAAAGGTCTTACACTTTTTAAATTTGTTTCATTTCATTTTTTATTCTATCTACTCTTACTGCCCTTTTCCCTTGGCTGGCTTGCATCTATTTCCTCAGCATGGTTTTAAATGTGCTAACATAAACACTTCTTTTTGCAAGCCAGCCCTTCAAAATAATGGACCAGATGCCCTGCCTATGCAGTCCCACAGCATGTAGGACAACTAGCTTTGTCTTAGAACTAGTACACTGCATTATAACTGTGTTTGTCTCACTACTGGTTCCTTCTACCAAGTCTGCCCTAGAGTAAATGTTCAACAAATCCATTTTTTAATGAATCAACTACAGCTGGTCAACATGTCCTGAAAAGAGAGTTATTGCTAATATTACATTTCTCTTTAATTTATCTGTAGGTATATAACATTATAGTTATGACTGCAGCCTAACCTTGGCTATGTTACTGTTTTCGTTTCTTAACCTCCCCCAACATTAGTTTCCTTCCCTGTATATCCTTAGATTTTTTTGTGCGGATTAAGTGAAATGATGCATAAAAGTTCTTAGTACATGAGGCCTAAAACATAGAAAATAGAAAGTTCTCAATAATACAATACTACTATGATAGCATTGGTATTTGAAATATCGTACTAAGTTAAATAATAGCTCTCTTCAAACAGATACACACACATGTACAAACATACGCATAACTAAAATGATATTTTGAGTTGGAACAATATTTTCAGAGTTGTTTTCTTTTTTCTCTGTGTCCAACTTTTGGCAAGTAACTTAATAATTTATTTGTTGAACAAGGAAATGCCAGAGGCTATGAGTCCTCATTAGAGGTGTTAGCACACATATCATCAGATAAACTCATTGGGTTAAAAGAAAAAACAATGGGCAGTCTCACATGCCAACATTCCCTAAGGAAGAATAAATTACACTAAAGGTATATTTTTTCAATTAACTATTAGAAAGTAAAGGCCACCAGAAACTAGAAACACCCTTTTTGGAGGCCATCCTGACTTCTTACCTTATATAGGTTTAAAAAATAATCATGTGCTATTTAATACATACAACA